CATTGGATCATCCAAGATTACAGGTACACCTTGTTGAAGAATGCCAAGGTTCAGTGATTCCTATAGACTATCACCAACCATCCTACATTGTATTACCACATAGATATTTTTCAAAAATGTGCTAATTTTATGTCTTTAAAGTCAGAAACTTTTGGTTACTGTTCATCTGAAATGGATTTTTGTTGTTATCAACACTTTGTGGATTATGTAAAAAAAGGATTTATACAACCTGCTTGTCCGTTGTCACTATGATTCTGAGAAAGAATAGTTGTCCACTTTCCATTTCTAAAACAACTTATTTAGGATCTCTTTATAATCAACTTTGAAACTACTAACAACAAATTTCAAGTACCTTAGTTATCATTTTTTTTAAATCACTAAAATTAAGGATAGTTTTCGTATTCATTCGTACCACTGGAAAAAATTCTGTACACAGTTTCTACGCAGGATTATTTCGACAATCAAATTTGAATATCGCGTAAACTGTTAAAGTAGAGCTACTCGGGAAATTTCTCTCCCTTTAAAATAAATTTTGTGAATTTCAGAAATTCATTTCTTCTAACCTGTTTCAAATTCGGATTGCTATTGGTTATTTTATGATTCACACTCATCCTTTTTCTCTGCCCAATAGCGATAAGTTAATGCATACAATTATGAATGCATGAAATAGATATGACCTGAAGTAGTAGAAATAGGAAAGGAGATCGAGAGTGAAACATATATACACACACACAAATACGACTTCATATGAATTGTAAAGTAAAGTAACAAGGGTCTATAGAGCATGACATATTGTTTTCTTTTTAGGAAAGTCAGATTCTACTTAATAAAACATGATACTTTCCTATTAAAAAAATATAAAGAAGACAATAAAATAAAACTGTAGGTTTTGAGTTGATAAGTTCAAATAATGTTTTACCAATCTATGTATTACATACCGACAATTTAAAACAGGTTGAACCAATCAAATAAGGGGAATTATTTACTCTTCTCAACTCCTCCAAATCCTTTCTCCCCCTCCCTATTTTTCAAATAAATAAATAAAAGTCATTTTCAGAGATAGTAATCACTCGTTATTGTTTCACTTGAAGCCAATCAGTAATATTAATTCCTCTGATGAAAATCTATACACATGTATTACCATTTCATTTGGATATTATAATAAGCATTTAATTGTATTATAGAAGGAAATTCCATTGAAATACTTCTATACATTTTCATGTAAGTTATTTTGAGTTATTATTTATTCATTGACTTCTGATTAAAACATTATTTTCATTGAGATCATGAATTGATCTAAGTTAGACAACTATTTAAATACATGGAAACACTGGACGTTCATTTCGTCCAGGAATCCTTATTCATGACCCCATAAACTGAAGGAGTTTTATATTAGGATGAAAAACGACTACTCAGTGTTTCCAGGTCTTCAAATCAGTGAAGGTCTCAGTGATTACAAGTGAATGTTATTGAAGTTTTCTTTTACAATGAATAGTAAATATTAAGATGGATATTAAGCTGTTTCTGAAAATGATCATCTTCATTGAAAACGCAAAATTACGATATAAATGTCTTTACAATTAACCCATAAATCCAATTCTATATTAATTTTATCCCTTAAGAATTATGTCCAGTTGATTTAGAAGGTTCCTTAAATAAATTCAGAAGTTTTTAATAGATAATCATTAATTACTTACCTTTGTTTTTGTAAACTATTAATAATCTCAATATAATTGTAATGAATATCGGAAGGGGTTTTGTGGATATTATAGTAATTTTAATTGTTGGAATCATGAATCAATTGAATCTAGACTACCTGAAAGCACTGGAGACCGTTTCGTTCTACTTTGGGACTCCTCAGCAGTGCGCATACACGATCCCGCCTCGCGAGATTCAAACCCAGGATTTATCAGTTTCAAGCGCTGAGCCGACATCCAACGATGTTAGGACGAAACGGCCATCCAGTGCTTCCAGGTTTTCCATGGTGGTTTAACTTCAATGGATTCATGATCTCAACTACTATAATTGTAATTCCCTGTTAAGTTATCTAAGTTACTAACATTCAATTCATCTGTTTTCATTGCTGTATTGTTTCTTACACCTGATGAATGAAAGATTTCACTTCCATGAATTAATAATTAAAATGAAATAAAACTATTTAATTTGATATAATCACTATTTATCAATCTAATCGGTTATTCATGTGATCAGACATTGATCCATTTATGATCAATGAATGAAAATTTAAAAATGTTTATAAATAAAGTTGAATAAATAAGACATTAACTAATTTTCAAATAAATTGAATATTGAGTAGAGTGTTAATAATAAATATGGTTTTAATATTCTTTTCTGGTTAGTGCTTTTTTAGCGAGTTGGTTTTCTATGGGATGGGGTTGCTAACCCCATGCCCAACCCTCCCCCTTTGTCCGGGCTTGGGACCGGCAGTAGCCCCCAGAGGAGCTACAGGCGGAATTAATAATAAATATATTTCTGATACATCTTAATCAGTAGAAAAAATATATATCTCGTGTTTCGTGACTGAATGTCAGATAACTTCTTCAGGGTAAATGACTGTTTGACGATTCCAAGAAAGAAGTCTGAAAAAATAATTTATCAAAGGGTAGCTAATTGAGTTTTATATTTATTTTTTCAACCTGCTCTTATTATAAAGATTCTTGTTCAAAAGTTATATAGTAACAATTGAATCCATATCTTAGTGACACAAATATTTTATACACTAATACATATTAGTTTCTTTTATTAAAAAAATCAATCCCATCGTAGAAATTTTAGATTATTTTACCCAGTATTTGTTCAATATTGTAGTATTTGCTCAATCTAAAATTGAACTGTTACTATGGGTTTATAATAGAATTCCTTTTATAATTCTAAGTTGACATTTCTAATAATTTCTATTAAGCTTGAAATTTCTTTTTTGATAATTTCTATGAAAAGAAAATTGTAATCATGGAAACATGTATTTGGTCATTAAGTTTAATGTTTGTAACTATTAGGCTTTTTCAAATTATTCTAAATGGACTTTTAATATTTCTGTTTAACTGTTGGTAAGAATGATGCAGTAGTCGGGGCTCCCTTTTGGATTACTGTGAATTCTGTTTACGAAGAATTGAGGATTATTATTATTTTTTATATAGTTGAAATCATGAGTCAATTGAAGCTAGATTAATATGGAAAACTTGGAAGCATTGGATAGTCGCTTCGTCCTATTGTGGGACTACTCAGCAGTGCGCATCCACGATCCCGTCCAGTGAGATTAGAACCCAGGACCTATCCGTGTCGCACGCGAGCGCTTAAACTGTAGACCACTGAACCGGCATCCCATGGTGTCAACGTCTAACTTCAACCAATCCACGAAGTTTAGCAACCATTCACCAATATGTCCAATGAGTTGATATCTTCCAACAGACCTGGTTAAACTCCACTGGTTACTGCTTCTCACTAGAACTCCAGGAAATACCTCATAGAACGAAACGGTATCCAGTGCTTCCAGGTTTTCCTTGGTGGTCTAGCTCTAATTAACTCATGATTTCAACTATATAAAAAGACTATTATTATTATTTGTATGAACGAGAAAAAATATGCACTTAAATAGACCGGAAATCTGACACACAACGATATTTCAACATTATTAATCCACATTCTAATAAGAAATAAAGAGGATGAGATTATCAGGATAGATTTATTGTTTAAAAAGAAGTTAAAAATAGAAATAAACAACATTATAGACATAGTAAAATGTGGTGAACTTGGAGCATAACAAGTTAAAGATCTAAAATCTATAACAAGCAATTAGATGATAACAAAAGTCATAGCAGAAATATAAATTTGAAAAAAATGTCGAGTTTAAGCTTAAAAGAAAAAAGAAATCAAAGTTTAATAACAAAAAGATAAACTAACTTGATCTCTCCATAACAACTTTATAATTATCAGAAAGGGGTTTTGTGGAGATGTTAGTAATTTTAATAATTGAAATCACGAGTTAATTGAAGTTAGACCATCATGGAAAACGTGAAAGCACGGACGATCGTTTCCAGGTTTCCTATGGTGATCTAGCTTCTACTGACTGATGATTTCAACTATAAAATTTCATAATTGTCAAATCAAGATTTTTGTTGTACATTGATTCCCAGTTAGGTTAGAAGGAGGATTCTACCTTAAAGAAAAAGCACTAATATGCAACTTGTTTTTCTTTTTTTTTAAAAATAAACAGACTATCCATTGTACATGTATTACACTTAAATTTGATTTCTCTTGTCATATTGAAGTGTAAACAGTTAAGAAAAAAAACAAAAGAAGCAAAAACACGTGAAACCAACTAATTTTTTTCATTAAACTTCATATTTAATGTAAATTACTAGTGAAAATAATTAAATATAGTAAATACATGTGAGAATCTTAAATAATGTTGCTCCCATCTTACTCTATTCATGACATAATTATACAATTATGACCACGTCTCATTTATTGATTGGTTTATCTCTAGTTTTCATTATCCATCAGTAATTTTTTTTAAGATACCATGTTTGAATACCACTTGACACTTTTATTATTGACGACATTAATAGCATACTTACGAAATGTGGTATTTATATTTATGACACTACCCCTCCCCCTCAAAAAAAGAAGAAAAAAAACAGAAATATTATCCAGTCACTGTAATTGGTAGTTGTTATCATTTTCATTCCATTTGCATTTTGTAATTTCTACATGTACTCACTTGAAACTACACCACTTTCAATGAAGAAGTAGAAAAAAATAATAGACAAACACGTGTACACACATCAACCATATTATGTGAATTGGTAAATGCACACGTACATTATAAACATATTATCATGGATTTATAGATTCGTTTATGTATTACACTTTGAAGAGAAATAAATCAACAATCTATATGTCCATACATATGTATCCACAGTGATTTTTTTTTGGGGGGGGGAAGAGACTATATATAATAAACAGTTATCAAGTCAGTTACGGTTTACCTTTTTTAAAAATACATTTATACATGTATTTAAAATGTATATAACTAGCCAGAAAAGCACTATATTTTTTTATATAAAATTTAGTCCATACAACCGTTTACTACTGTGATATAGACGTTTAAAATAACTACCTTGACAACTGAAACTACTTAATATGACGATTTAATTTTTTTTCTTAGGTAAGTTGAATAGTGTATCTGATAAATTAAATTATGAATTTGTACTGTATTAGTCAATAGATTCATTTTTATCAGAAGTGGTTTTTGTGGAGATTTAGTATTTTCATAGTTGAAAGCGTTAGTCAATTGAAGCTAGACCAGGTTTTCCCTGGTGGTCTAGATTTATTTTTAATTTCATTAAATAATACCAGCTCTATATTAAAGATTACTTTTATTATGCGGAATATTTAGAAAAGAGTTCAATGAAAAATAGAAGATGGGGAAGAACATTGTAGGTGATTTACAATTTATTGTATGATAAATAAATTTATGAGATGTATTAATTGGTTGCCGGCTTAGTGGTCTAAAGGTTATGCGTTCATACGCGAGACTGAAGGTCCTGAGTGCAAGTTCCGAGGGATCGTGGATGCTAACTACTGAGGAGTGGCATACCAGGACGAAACGACTGTGCAGTAATTCCATGTTTTCAATGGTGATCCAGCTTAGATCGACTCACGAATTCAACTATTAAAATAATTTTAGTATATAAGAAAATATCAGCTAGATAATCTTTACAAAAACATGTTGATCATCTGAAAGCTCTCCATTCAGTTAGTTCCTTATCAAGGTTCTACACTAATAAATAGATTTTTAAATCAAGCATAAATTAAACAACAAATAAATGGGAGGGTAATCAAGCTCGCTATGTACCTTGGTATCTTCCCTAAAAATGATAATTAGTAGTTGGTGAAACGGGTTTTTAAGACAGATTACGTAAGAATACAACTAGAAAATAACATCAAATTGGAAAAATTAAAAAAATATTTCGAGCTACGTAATAATAATTAAATGGCAGACCAGGATAGTCGGAAAGGTTGTATGAACTTTTACTATACACAAGTCACAAGTATATTTATACTTATTCACATGGATTCTCCTGTACGTAGGAAACTGATTCTGAAAGCATAAAGCAAGTTGAATAGAATTCTACAGATAATCTTGAAGGCTAATTTTTTCCATGTGTTGACCATTAGTTACTTAATGTCCCAGAACAGTGATTCTTATTGTTTTATTTTGTCATTCGGTCAGTCATACAGAATAATGTTCAATGATCCGATGGTGTAACAGTCCGATTACATGTCCAATATAAGTGACTCCATAGGAGAATCTGAACTACTGAACTGAAAATAAATAGTATGGTTAGTATCCGTCAAATGTCTTAGAAAGAACTTCAAAATGTCCTGTGACTTCTTTTAAATTAACAGTAAAGTTAAGGTTTATTAGAAAAAATAAACTAAATTATGCAGTATTTCTTATCATCGATAATTCAATAGTATCACTTTTGTTACTAACTGGAATTTTATACTATCAGTTTTTACTTCATCATATTCGTACATAAACATTTCAATACTCTTTTCAGGTTAGATTGTTGGATTTTAATAGAATTATAACGTACATATATTTTGTACTGTTTCTTTTTTTCGAAGAAATTATACAACTGTATCCATATACACAGATAAGACAGGACCTTATAACTTTTAATCAACTGTAACTTGTGGATCAAGATTAAACCTTGCAAGTAAGACTTCATTATTTAGCCTTCTTGGAACTCGTAGAATTTCTACTTCTATTTCATAAAATCAATTCAAAGTTGTTGAAACTGCTAATTGACTATAGCACATAAAATAGACAAACCAAAAGATCTGTTCTGTGTAATATATAAACTTTATATTCCATTTTTTAATATATGCATTAAAGATTGCTGCAGTTCGTTGTACAAATCTGTCAGAATACATACCAGTAATTAAAAAATCCTATGGATATACACGTTCTAATGAAATTTAGAAACTTGTTTGACAATATATCTTGTATACATCACTTAGCTGCCTTAATTGACTAAAAGTCAGTCGTTAGCGCCAGTGAACTTAAAGTAACACGACAGTTGTCTGCTGTCACCGAGATCTGCACACCCTCATTTAAAACCTTTTCGTCCCAATGAATCAAATATATTTTACTAGAACCTCTATGAATTTTCTGTTCCATATGATTTCCCTTTACGTTAGAGTAGGTTTTCTTGAAATCAATCTATTCATTCGTCCATTCTGATAACAAGATTTCAAGTATTGTTCCTTTCGGTAATATAATACGTTTTCCCAATTTCATATTTATCCATTAATAGAATGCAAATGTTTGAAAAATAAGTTAAGTCTCTTTATGTTCAAAATTTATTTTATGTAAACATGTTTAAACTTGAAGGAATGACTGACACTCCCTGAAAAAAACTAAAACCTGAATATCATGCATCATTTTTAAGCTGACAATTAGGATTCATTAACTACACACTGGACATTTTCAAGGGTTTTACTTTATCTATCCTATACAATTACTGTAAACCCGATGTCATTGTAAACTTTCCAGTGTAGAAGTGTAATAAGATTAGTAGGCTTTTTAAGTAATATGTTTACCTTTTTTAAAACTGGGTGAATTAAATGATGAAATAATTTTGAAATAAGGTATTAAATGTACTCCTTATGTCATTTATTCAAAGAATTAAGTCAAATTAGTCGTTTAGGTGATAAACATTAAAGTAAAGTCATTTGTTTGACTTAGTCATAAATTTTGTAATACGTCAACTAACATTAATGAAATTAACGCTAACATTCAGTTTAAAATGACTAGGAATTGAAATCTGAAGATTTTCAATAAAGATTTTTTGGGGACTATTAAATTAACCGATCAAATACGCTGACTGATTAATGAATACAAATAATACGATGCTGTGGAGTGATAACCCCTAACTAAATCAGATTAATTACGTAAGCCGTCAATTGAACTGATATCAGGAGATAAAATATCGACCTTATATACAAAATAATCACAATCATATACGTGATTAGTTTTGTTGGTCATTCACTCTCTTATCATATTACTTTTCCATAAAATGATGTGGTATCTAACATTGATAAGACTATTTTGATATTTTTGATTCATTTCATGTATTCTTCAATTGTTATGAAGAACATTTTTCAATTTTGTCTGCTGTGTGCAGTTGTACAAGTGACATAACTTTGCAAATTAGGCATGCATTTTTTATTTCATTTTCCCTCTCCTTAAACTGAATATTTATCATATACTTTGAATTGCAACGATGTGAGCACTGAAATCGATTTCATTCTGTAATTAAGACTGTCGATAGTTCCTGTAAGGCTATACAAGCACCTACTTGTAGAATAAGTTAGAAATGATATTGGTAATTTATACAGACTGTTTCAGATCAAGTAAAATGAACTACTGATATGTATTAATTGATTTTTCATTTGCATTTTAGTGTTTAACCAAGCTTTAGTGTTTCATTTTGAGCTTCATTTTAAGATTTATTCTTGAATTTACGGTAGCCGAAAAATAGATCACTCAGTATGCATGTAATAAAGATCAGTTTTGAACCACTGATCAGCTCTTAGATTATTTCATTCAAGTTCTTATTTTTATTAGAAACTGAAATCTTTCTGTTTTTCAATTATGTTAATCTGAATGATATTTGCTCAGTAAGTATTGGATCTATATCTTTCATTCTACTGGTTTACTAATCTTAGAATGAAAATTATTTTAAAATGTCAAATGAAGAGAAAAGTTGATTATCTGGCCTCCTGATTTGCCATTGGTGAGAATAAGCTATCGTATGAATATTTCCTTTGTTTCTACAAATGACTCCTAAATGCCCTGGTACGGCCGAAAGTGGATAGAGTCATCTCTCCTTCTCCCAATGCTCTCGCATGGCTACACGAATACAGACACTACCAGAAAAGTCCTACTCAATCCCTTCATGCGGCATTACTGTTGTTCACAAAATTGAGAGGACAAAAAACGAGTGTCCGTCAATTTAACCGGTTCAGTGGATTCGAAGGATCCATTTAGGGGAGTTAGAAAACCCTAATCTCAAATCAGTGGTGCATATGGTCTCCAGGATCGTGAGGAAACAAAAGGCGTATGAACCTATTGTTGGTCATCGGTTACCATGTGGCTGCATCTCCTCAGGTCGCTTCACTGCCTTGTGGATTAGACCTTTAGGTCGAAGGCTCCGTGTGTGGCCCCCTGAGAAAACCACTTGCTTAGGTCTGGGAACCCGAGAAGTATCACAGCCCACATATAAATCAAGTGACTTGTGTGGCACATATGTGTTCCGTGACCGTTTGTACTGATATTTGTGTTCATATAGTTTCTACAAATGATTAATCTGGAACACTTAGATATGTTAATTCCATCATCACTAAACTGTTCATTGATAATATTGAAATGACGAATTCTTAACAATTTTCATGTAACAAGTTTAGGTGGAGTTGAAAATTTAAATACTGATCTACTTATCTCAGTTTTTTTTAAAATTTGTTATCTCAGTCTCAAAATAAGAAGTAATATTTAAAGTCGACTACACAACAGTGTACTTTGTTTAGAGTTGGATTAACTTGAGTGGGGATTTAGTAAGTGAATGGTTCGTAATATTTCCATCACCAAGTATAGAAAAAGCTTTGAGACTTAAATAGAAATAGACTGTATGGAGCTTTAACAAGTGAAACCGTTTCAAAGCCAATGGTTAGAAAAATAATGTATCATTTAAGAATTTCAGTGTAAATCTTCAAGAAAACCCTATGGTTAATGATTAGGAAGCACAAACTACTTCATCAAAACTTCACTGTTACATATATAAGCATTAAAGTTGATATTCACTTATCATCTCAGTATCAGATGCTTTAAAACTATAACAAGATCCTTAAAGTAATATCAGTGTTCTTTTGTAGTCAACTGAAGATAAGCGCTACAAAACCGACGAAACACTTAATTTAACTTCATTTAGTATTGTTTGTTTGAATCTTCCCATCGATTTGTTAGAACTGCAACTGGTCAGTCTCTAATTGGCATATTTGCATACTATGCGTATTGCCTCGATATAGCCTTAATTCACAAGCATCGTAAGCAAAGATGGACTCAGTGGCCGAGTGGATAACGTGGTGGCGTTTGAAGTGAAAGGTACTGGGTTCGAGTCCCAGAGTGAACATCAACTCAGGTAAATCTAGCTGACGAGTCCCAAATAGGACGAAACGCGCGTAATGGATTCCACTACTAGTCACTATCCATCTCTGCTTACTTAATTTAACTGCCTATCAAAATCGACATAGTTCTACCATTTATGTTTACCAGTTCATTTTGTAAATAACCCGTCTCAATAACAACAATAATAAAGAATTACAATAAAAAAAGTAAATAACAATTACTTCTAACTTTAATAATGAAATACACTAAACACGTGTCACTAACACAAACATCTGGGTAAATTAATTATTTCCCTAGAAATATTTCTGATTCATATTTTTATGATCATAGTCAATTGAAATCTGTATTAGATGATTTCAGACACTTTAATGAGTAGACTATTAAAGGAAAAAGAAATTTGATTTTCTTTTGATTTCCAATAAACATCGGATTTAATCAAATTCGTCTTTATATAAGAAGTTTTAATGGCCAGTTGAATGGTCATAAATCAATTGAAATATAAAAACATAATAATAATAAAGACTGACGAGAAAGATTAAAAAGTAAAACAAAAAACGTGAACTATTAACAACATTAACACACTATTTTCCAATGTTCAATTGTCAGGTTAACAATGACTTTACGATAAGTATCTAGGGTAATATGGTGATGTTAGGTAAACAGCAATCAATACTTTTATAACCTTTGATTTGATGACCAAAACCAATTACTCGAAGATGTTGTAATATCTAGTAAGAAAACCTATTTGATACTATAATTCATTTCACCATAGCGGACTGTAACTAAAACAATTTTTTTTAAAGACGGTATGTTTTTTCAAAATAAACCATACATTTAAACCGTTTGTTTGTACTTAGACATAACTTAGGAGGTAAACCAACCGTATTTCTTACTTTGTTTCTCACCCAGTCTCATCAGTGAATGACCCATCGGTCTTCCCAAACCTCTACAACTAAACCATAATTGTTTGTTGATTTTCAACATACTTGTGGGTTGATATTTTAAAGTTTCAAGGTAAACATTGGCCTGATGATTCATTCAAATCAGAAATGGGATGGCAAAAGGCTAGCGATATTACATAAGGACCCCACTATAATACACATTGGCCAAATTTGAAAATATGAACCTCAATAAATCAATTAAGCGATTAATTGGCTTGCCAAGACATCCATAGGCCATAAGATAATGATATAAATATGTATTTAATAACTAAATTAAGCAGTGAGATTCAAGTTGGAATCTTTCTGAAGAGTTTTTTGTCAGTTGTTTGTTCTAACAGTATTAGAATAAACAATAATTACATAAAGTTATTACCTTTGGAAGTATTCAGATACTCACTTTAGAGTTGCTTGTATCTGATGAATAAAGGACCAGATGATTGGTTTGTTGTATAGCCCACCTCCTAATGTTGTGATGTTTGATATATCACCGAATTGTAGCATTAAATTCCTCTGAACTTATTTCCTAGATATGATAATCATTGAACATTACGGTTAAATGTTGTAGGAAAATCGTATTATGTGCTGACAATATCTTTATTGAATCCTTACTAATATTAAGGTAACTGAAATGGTGGACCTTCATGCATTAGTCTTTTATTCATAGTGAATATATCACTTTTTATTGAATGTTTTAAAATGAATTAAATATTTAAATCTAAAATGTCTATTGATAACCGATATATAGACGTAAATTCCAATCCCGAAATTCAATGAATTCCTTTAAATTAGTTACTAACACTTCAACTTCGAGATGGTGGAGAAGAATTTATAGCTCAAGTGAATGATTTTGATGGAGTTTTGTTCTCTGAACTGGATGGTTTGGTCATAAAGAAATTCAAACACTTCACTTGTACTGATGATGTCGTTCAGAAGAATGATGAAAACTCCACGACCAAACCATCCAACTCAGAGAACAAACTCCATCAGAAACACTTCAACTACTTATATAAGTTAATAAAAAAAGACAGTACACTCATATAGATAAACTAATTGTTTTATTAATTATACAGTCAAAGTAGATTTAACTTATAATACTTCTGATTAATGGAATATACAAAGTATACATAATTTCCAACTGATCACTAAAGTTCGAATCATAAAAGTAATTATTCAATAAGGAATTAATAGTTAAACTACTAACTGAATACTTAATTTTCATTCAAAATAATGATGAACAATTTTGATTATTAAAATGTCAATAGATATATACACAGTGTACAGTACACAAATATTTTAGTCATTACTCATTTTTATCTCAACAGACTTTATCCTACAATAAAATGAAACTATCGTCCAGTGCTTCCAGGTCTTCCATGGTACTCTAGCTTCAACTGATTCATGATCTCAATTATGAAAAATAAAAAACTGTATTGAATGGTTTATTCATGGAAGAAAAGACTTAAATAGATAGTTTTATAAATATATTACGGTATAGCAAAATATATAGATGGAAGATCTATCATGAATTTGGAAGTTATCTTGAATTAAAATACCTCATTTTGTTATAAAATGTTACTTAATGACTGATAACGGTCATAATAAAACAATAAAAGGTGACAAATAAGACTTAAATAAGAAAACAATAAATATATTGTATTTTTGATGTTTCGTGACTTAAGTTAAGCGAACTTCTTCAGAGTAAACAAATAATCGATATTGGTATTGTTTCCTTTGTACTATTTAAACTTGTGTCTATTTCAATTATTTATTTTCTTTGAAGAAGTGGCTTAAATTAGGTTACATAAACGTCAGAAATTCAATTTCTCTACTTATTTGGATATAACGAAGAAATATATTTATTATTAACTTTCTACATAATGCTCAATTTATTTGGAACTATCAAGTCAAACCTTAGCATTGATACTTTTAAATAAGAAAAGTGTAAAAGTTATTAGTATAAATAGGGATAGTTATAAATAATTAACAGTATATCATGAATAAGTCACAATTATTTTTGTTCTATTATGGTGTGCTACTAGAATCTGTTCTTAGCATGTTAGAGAAAAGTACCGAGATCTTTTTGTTGTGAAATGACTTTATTGGTCATGCGAGATCGTGGATTTACACTTCTGAGAAGTCCTATAATAGAACGAAACAGTCATCCAGTACTTCTAGATTTTTCATGGTGGTGTAGCTTTCATCAACTCATGAATTCAACCACTAAATTACTGCAATCTCCATAAAACCACTTTTCTGATGTATTTTTGTAAAAGGTTACATATAAATTTATTTCATTATCAAAAATAATATTTCATAACTTTTGTCCTGTAATTAGCGTTAGCCATTATCTACTTATATTCAATATTTGTCAGTTCATTATTGCTGTATATTTGTTCAAGAATATGATTTGTGAAAAGTAGTACAATTCGAAAGTGGATTCTGTCACGAATTAACATCCTTTGTGAAACCAGTAAAATTCAAGGAACATTGATCAGTTATTTCATTTTGATTTGAGACTCCTTCACAGTTCACATTCTTCCCACCACATTTACTCGAACTCATGATCCTTAAGTCTCGTAAAACTTAATACATTATTAACATTAATAATCTGGAAGTTATTGATTCATGTTTTCAGTTTTAATCTTTTCGAGATATGATGCGATGACTATTCAATATCACCGGGGATAACTATCTAATTTGCTTATGATAATAAGTTTGTTAATCCATAAATATGTTTCTGTGATTTATTATTAAATGAAGAAAATATAACATTTAAAAACAATCGATCTGAAATCAAATAATGAGTTAAACAAAACTCTACACTTAACTAAGAATTAATATTTGCATATATCATAAACTAAATTTCACTTTTAAAAATAAGCCAGTTTGATTATTAGAAATTTCCCAGGTGATTTAAATAATTATTCGTTACACTACTGAATTACTTACTTACTTACCCCTGAAACTCCTCGTGGAGGAACATAGGCCGCACATCAGCATTCTCCATCCAACCATGTCCTGAGCAATCCTTTCCACTTCTTTCCAATTAACATTCACCCTTTTCATATCTGTTTCTATTTCCCGGCGTAATGTTTCATCATTTAATAAATCTTGTAGTTATATATAAATCAGTCAAATGATATATGTTTAAGCTAAATATTAAAATGGTTTGAAAGTTTTAACATTAAATTTCTTAATGCTCTTATATTAACAACACGTTTCATTACTTGTCTAACTATCATATTAATCAACTTAATATATAAATATATACATGTATTCGTTTTACAGCACTATATTTCAAATCGTGATCTTCAACAAGTTCTCTATTATCTTCATTCAAACGAATTATTTTATACATTGATATTATATACTTAAACTAATGTCTACAGATACATGGATATCTTCACATTGTGAATTGAATCATCTTGTCAATATGTCACCATCAACATCTACTTCATCACCATCATTATTGAATGCTAATTTTATGCAACAATTTTCAAATGTATTTCATAAATTTTATTCATCTGAAACCAGTTCATTAATTACAACAAAATCTAATGACCCATACCTGTATACTAACTATTTAAGTCAAACTGTATTAAATAGTTACATTAATAAAGAACATAAATTACAAGATAATAATTTACAAAACATTCAAGAGATTTTTCAAAAATTTTTAAAAACTTTTCCACAATTTGATATGGTACAAAAATCATTACCAAGTCAAGAAACATCTACAGAAAGATCTATTCAAGATTTAACAATGAATCGTGGTGGACAATATGATTTGAATATATCTGATTTTAATTGTAGTAATACTACATTAGGTACATTACCAAGTCCATCGGATAAATCTAGTCCATATGATTCTAGTTTATGTTATTCACAGAATATTGTAACAGATAAGAATGGATATCATATGAATAATCAACAAATGAATGATACTGAAATTGAAGAAGTGAATGAATTCTATGGTACTTCAGATTACATTAAAATGAATAAAACAAACAGTTTATATACTACTGTACCATCCGATACGGTATTAAATAGTATATATAATATCAATGGTAATATAAAACAAGATTATAGATCTACAGAAAAATTAGTGAATCATTTTCCTGATCATTATCAACATGATAATGAACAGTCGAATGATGAACATTATGCTATCAACTTATCTATGAAAAAGACAAATTTATTTCAAACAATACCTACTTCACAATCTGAAATGATGAATCATAATCTGGAAACAAATGATCCTTCATTATCAAATCCAGCAGTTTATGAATACTATACTAAATTAATGCAACTCAGTTATTTTGAGTGGTTTAAGTATCTCCTTTGTCAGTCGCCACAAATAACAGGAAACTCATCTACCTCAAGTCCTATACCTCATTTAATTCAGAATAACAATATTCGTTATCCAAACAACAAATCCTGTGACGTTAATAGCTTGAATAATGTTAACAATACTATTCGAAGTAACCACTCTTCAAAGGATGTTCAAAATATAGATAGATTAGCATTTCGTCATTCTAATGAATCTCTTTCAATTAACTCAGATATTTCAGGATCAACTTATTCATATGATTTATCTAATTTTCCTTGTAACTTGCAGTCTAACTTCTCATTTAATAATCATCAAACTGCTTTGTTAAATCGTCTTTCAACAATTACATCAACAACACATCCATTACCATCTTATTCACCAATACGAATTACAAAGTCCGGCATTCAATCAATGACAAAAGATGCTTCAAAATTAACAAATGTTTCTAATATGAAATCAAAGAGCTATTCTGGAAATCCGATAATTTCAAAATATTCGAACACAAAAAGTGTTGATCGTACATTAATTATTAATGGACCTAACAGTTATGCTTGTAAACTTTGTTCAAAAGTTTATTCACAAGCATCCGCTTTAAAAATGCATGTACGTACGCATACATTACCATGTCGATGTACACATTGTGGTAAGTCATTTTCACGTAAATGGCTTCTTAAAGGACATGAACGTACACACACTGGTGAAAGACCATATTCATGTAATGTTTGTAGTCGATCATTTGCAGATCGATCAAATCTAAGAGCGCATATGCAAACACATCAACGTGAAAAACGATATTCATGTCCATATTGTCCACGTTCATTTTCACGAATGGGTCTATTAAATAAACATATGATACAATGTACTCAAAATACAGAATCAAACAATAATGTTAGCAGTCGAAAAAATAACAACATAATGAAAACATCAAATTGTTATCTTCCTATCAAATTTTCTTGATCCAAATATCTAATTTAATCATCAATATTCTATTTATACAATGAACAATTAGTACTTACTTACTTACGCCTGTTACCCCTTCGTGGAGGAGCATAGGCCGAATGAACAATTACTAGTTAGATAAAATACTTTACTAAACCTACATTCAATGATAAACAGTAAACTTAGATAAGTTTATCATAAGATAAAATGTATAAAGTAGATTTGTAGATATTTTTTTCATTAGTCTACAAGTAATATATGTACACATGTATATCTGATATTTACTACTATTTCACCCCTTTGTTTTCCATCTTAATCTCATTACAAAAATAACTTGCAGATCATATTATTTTTTTTCTTAGAAAAGGACGTAGAAGGTACTTCTACCTCATTTACTTTATATTGATGTACAGATCCAAGAAAACTGTCATGAATATTATCTACTTATATGAAATATATAATTCATTTTTAAAGATCTGTGGTTGTTATTATCAGTAGCAGTAGGATTGTAAGTATGATTTAAAGAGGAGAATGATGATGAGCACTTCTTCAATGAATAACGAAAATAAATTCTTTAACATTTTTGAAGGGTCAGGTAATACATGACACTTTGTTCTATAAAAAAATGAATGAATTATGTAACTTTTATCAATCAAATTTTAGTAGAGAGCTTCTGAGAAGTTTTGAATAATTGTCCAATGCTCGTTAGTTTTAGATAGTTCTCTAAATGATATTAGTTCAAGAAGGAACCGATTTAAACTGACATAGATTATTAGTGTTAGATATCCAATTTACAAGTTTCAGGTGGAATTAATCATATAGTCTTAATGTCAATGGATTTCACCGTTCATCGACTACTTTAATTATTCAAAAGAAGTTCAAGCTCAGATGTTACACTATGAAATGAATTACAATTCAATTTTATGATTATAAAAATACAATCTAAACAACTTTATCTAGTTGATTTGAAGCAGATGTTAGTCCTATACATGAATGATTTAGTCGTCAAATGTTACTTAGTTTATAAAGGCACCCAAATGATATCAATCTATGGTGAGTACCACTTACAAAGTAAGGCGATCTCCATATGACTTCATCATCAATTTCATATAGTATGCAAGTATTGGAAGTAATAAGTCGCAGATTATAGTGCAGTACTAATGATAGCTAAATAGAATCGGAAATCCGAAAGAAATCGTTTCAATATGATTTGACTAGGCTATTCCGAAACCATGTCAAAGAAGTCTCTTACTTTGTCAAACAAGATATGATCTATACGGACAATCAATATACTAACAATGATTTCCGATTGAATACTTACAGAAAGTAGACTAAGTATACCAGGTGGTAGATGCTACCAATATTATAAAAAAATTAATGAAAAAATTTCACCTTTTCAATTCAAATAAGACTAGACCAATGAAGTATCACCTCTTCGAATTTAATTAATAGTTTGTGAAACTATATAAAAATCAAATTCGAAATTAATTAAAGGGCCCTAAAATGCCTTGGTACGGCTGAAAGTGGGTAGAATCAGCTTTCCCTCTCTTAATGCTCTCGCATGGCTACACGAATACAGACACTACCAGAAAAGTCCTACTCAATCCCTTCATGCGGTATTACTGTTGTTCACGAAATTGAGAGGATGAAAAGTGAATGTCCGTCACTTAAACCGGTTCAGTGGATTCGAAGGATCCATTTAGGGAGTTGGAAAACCTTGATTTCAAATCAGTGGTGTATGTGGTCTCCAGGATCGTGAGGAAACAAAAGACGTATGAACCTATTGTTGGTCACCGGTTACCATTTGACTGCATCTCCTCAGGTCGCTTCACTGCCTTGTGGATTAGATCTTCAGGTCGAAGGCTCCGTGTGTGGCTCTCTAATAAAACCACCTGTTTCGGTTTGGGTGTCCAGCCCTCAAAACTCGAAGGATTTGTGTGACGCATATATATATATATATATATATATATATATATTTGGTGTCTCCTTGTACCAATGTCTATGTGTGTAAATAAAAAAAACAGACATATTACTGACAATCAGTTTCTACATACATATATCTTAAATATTAAAAAAATTATTTAAATGGAGCTTCTTTTTTTCTATATTATTGCTTTTGTTTTCTGTATACTATTTGACAAAACACATACAATCAATCTGTGCATACTAACACAAATTTATTACTTGTCTATCACAATGAATCAGGTAAATTATCCTACAAACACCTGTACAAAGTTAATTTTCGATTCTTCTTTCTCTTCTTCTTCTTCTTCACTTTATAAATAAGTAATTAAAAGTATTTTAGGACAAGAGAACTTCTTACAGAAAACAGAGATTGCGTGTATAAGATTATTATTATTATCATTAATCTCTTGAATAGATATTTCTTCAATAACATCTCTATGCTCACAGACATTGTCCTTTATTGAATAAATGAATCAATGAATACACTATCAGAATCTTATCCGATAAATATAAGTGTTTGGGTATATATGTATGTAAGTGTATGTGTATGTGTATGTGTATATGTGTGTGTCTGATTGACTGTAACCACAGAACAAGGTGTATATATTTCATTCTTCAAATTATTAAAAATTATTTTTCGATTGATATGCTTATTATTATGATTATTATATTTGTAATTCTGAATATTATTTTCCCCTATAGAAATAAAAGTTATAATTGGAAGACATATGCACACATACACACATACATACACACACATACATACACACACATACACATACATACATAGATACAATGAATATTGTCTCCTAGATATAAAATTCTTCTTCAAAGTTAGTTAGAGAATAAAACAAGCAAATAGATTGTGATGGTAAAAATATTCTAATATCTAAATAATAATAAACCTTATTTATTGTATAACGCAGGTGTAGCAAAATGTATTAAACAAGTGAATAAATAAAACTTACATATAGATATAAATATAAATTAAATATTCGCCAAATCATTCAATTATGAATGGTATAAATTATTTTTGTATCTGTCCAGGTGGTTTAATTATTTAAGAGAAAATGAAATTATAATAGTAATAGTTTAGAAATCTAGTTAATTGATAATATAGATAGGTACCATTAGAGAGATCTATCTATCTGTAGTTTTAAATAGAACTTTATAAGATCTTAAAAAAAGGTGATTATCAGGACTCAGTAGCTAAGTGAATAACGTGATGACGTTTGAAGTGAAAGGTACTGAGTTCGAGTCTCAGAGTGGTCATCAACTCTGAGATGCAGGTATATCCAACTGACGAGTCCTAAATAGGATGAAACGCGTGTCCTGGATTCAAATGATAACCACTATCCATCTTTGCTTATAAAGCGATATCGAGGCAGTTTGAATAGAATGCATATATGCCAACAATCGACTGATCAATTGCAGTCCTAAATAACAATGGGAAGATACAAGTAAATAACACCAAGTAAATTTTAAAAAAGTGATTATATACAAATGCTGCTACTTTTTTGTCTATTGATTATTACATAAAAATGTAATAATTTCATTATTTTGTCCATATAAATGAACTTTTGTTTGATTAACTATGTACAAACAATCTCTATATATGACTAGATATAGATTTATATCGTAAGAAGTTCACTAAGTCTAATAAAATGAATTAAATATTATTATAATGTTTGAGACCTATTATCATGATCTGTTTTTACTTTTGTCAAAGTTATTAGATAATACCAGAAGAGGTATTGTGGATATTATAGTAAGTTCAACAGTTGAAATCATGAGTCAATTGAAGCTAGACAACCATGGAAAACCTAATAGCACCGGACGACCGCCTCGTCCTATCGTGCGACTTCTCAGCAGTGCGTATCCACGATACCGATTCGCGACATTCAAACCCACGACCTATCAGTTTCGCATGCGAGCGCTTAAACTCTAGACCACTGACTGGATAAGTTTGTCACATGTTGATTCTCAAATCTTATTAATTTAATACAATCTTCATTATGAAATCCTTATTCAGTGATACTTCGTTTAGTTTTTCAATAAGAAAATTTTTAGTCTGTTTTGGATTCTTTCAAAAGTTTACTATTTATAATGAATCCCGTTTCTGCTACCGATAGATATCTATATTAGATTTTAAAATTATTCAGTAATGTCCTATCAATATTTAATCCAAGTAACAGTAGTATGTTATTTTTTGCCAGAATTAGTCTACCAAACAGACACTTGGGAAATAAGAATAGGAACTAGACAATTATGACTTTTAGTATCCTCTTTTTATCTAACAGTCTAATTCAAAGGTTTATTATAGAAATCCAGTAGAGTCAGCTAGTGACTAGAACGTACGTCTCGTCCTATATGGGATCCGTCTGTGGGAAGCACCTAGAGAATGTTTTACAGGATTTAAGTTTTTAATAATACAATCCACGATATAACAAAGTACAGGGAAATAAAGCTTATACGTTGACGATGGAGTAAATTTAAAAAGGTTCTGAAGGCAGTAGTAACTAAATACATCTTTGTATCTTCTAGCCTTAATAAATATTTCGAATCGTTTCCTGTTGACCACCTCCAACTACTATTTGGTTATCAAAAATATATGTTTTTATATTACTGAAATAGATTAGTTTCTTACAGAGATCATATATTCACACTTGCTTACAATGAATAGAAACCTGTTTCTAAAAATAGGTCAACATAGAAAAAAAATTTTCCTTCTAAGAAACGTTCTCTGATTGCATTATCTAGAAAAAATGAAACGAAAACAACAAAAAAAAACAAAAGAAGAACGTATCATTCTCTTGGGTATCCAATATCTACTAATGTCAAATATCATCATACATCATTTCACTACCTATAAACTAGCAAACAATGTTGTTGTAAATATTCATTAAGAATAAAACCATCTAGTGTTTACTGTGTAAAAATACAAAGAAGATAAAAAATCTGAGGAAATTTTAATTAGTCCTTAGATAATGTATTCATGGTGTCTACCTTAACTTACTCAAATGTTAAGCTTAGGTATTAACCTCTTTCTGAATAAATAAATAAAAACTTAAAAACGAAGCCCTACTTATTTCATCTTGTTAAAAATGATGTTATTATATGTTCACTGACTTGATATCCTCTTTTTTCTTCGATTCCTCTCTCACTTTGGTATAACTGTATGTGTGTGTGTATGTATGTATGATGAAACATATCATTTTCCAGATAAACAATTTGATACCTGAATCCCAGTAATATTAACACTATTAGTAATTGTGATAGTATGTGTGTGTGTGTAAATCTAAGGTGTGAAGAAAGTGAAACCATTAAACTGGACTTAACATATACTATCTTAGAGTGATTAAATGATAATGGATACCTTAAATAAAAGAATAAAGATGATATACTTCAATATAACAGTAATTCTTGATTACATATACCCCCCTCCCAATGGACAAGTTACGCTAAAAATATAACGGGATAGATAAAAAGAAAACAAAAACTAGAT